CAAATCACGGCTTGAGACGTTGGGATTTGCTTTAATCATCCGCTTCACCTTTCCCTCCGTCTTTTTGTTCTCCGGTCCCGGTTTTCTTCCAGCTCCTTTGCCGTGGTCCAACGTCAACCGCTCCTGGAACCGCTTCAACACTCTGGAGACGGTTGAATGGTGAATGTTCAACATTTTTCCCAACTGCCGGTGCGACAGGTCAGGAAATTCCAGGTGTTTGGAAAGAATTTGTTCTCTCAACTCGCGTTGGTTCACCTCCATTTTCGTTGAATCGAAAAACACGACTTCGAGTTTGACAGCATGTACACAATACACATCAATGAGAAAGTGTGCAAAATTTGGTTGATTTTTACCCAATGGTAAAAAAGTTATGCCCTGTTGAATGTGTCGCAATAATTTCGTGTTCGCCCTTTAAAATCCTTTTGACGGTCCACCGAGACACTCCCACGTCGATTGAAATGTCTTTTTGCGACATTTGCGCGTGGGAAAAATCACGAATACACTGCCACTTCGTCATGGTGCAACTGTCAAACTAAGTAAATTATTTTCTTTTATACACAGCCTACTACGGTATGAGCTATAGGTTACGTGCATGCAAAGAAAACCAAGGCATTGTATGCACAGGTGAAACGGGAACCTTATTTGTACGATGGTGCAAACATTATCACGCATACGATATATCTCTCAAAGACACGGTTTGTTGAGAATTCTCGTGCACTTTGATCAGGATAACTTATCTCGCCTTTTTTTTTGGAACATGAAAATTTCTACCAGGTTTTACGTGCATAGCACTTCTACGATATGTTCCGCCGTCTTGTGTTTGCCCTTCACATGAGTTGTCCGGTAGCTTCCTAAGAAGAGTAGCCTTTTTCCAATATGGCATCACATCTGGTCTACGTTGCACAAATTCATTGTCGCCAACCTGCAATTCTAGTAGTTCCTTGGATCGCTTGTCATAACTTGCTTTAGTCACTTGTCTTTTCTCTGTAATTCTTTCCTTTACTGTTGCGGACTTTGGTGGTTGCAGCTTATTTGTGATCCGAGGAAGTTCACTTCGTGTGTCTCTTGAAAAGAGACGTTGATTTGGACTTGATCCAATGGCATTAGGAGTGTTCCGATGTTGCAATAAGGCCTTCCAAAAATCAATACCGCTCTTCGAGCACTTTCGGTATAATTGCTTAATAGCTTTGATGGCTGATTCAGACTTACCATTTCCTTGAGCGTGATACGGTGCTAATGTGACGTGATTGAAACCCCAATCTCTTCCGAATTCGCTCCAGGCCGCATTGTCAATCTGCGGACCATTGTCCGTAACAACAATCTCTGATGTTCCATGCCTCGCAAAGTGACGCTTGCATACTTGGATAACGGTTTGTGTCTTAGTATCGTTCAGAAAATCTGCCTCGATAAAATTGGCAAAGCTGTCAGCCATCACCAACATAAAGACTTTCTTCCCATCTTTCTTTACTTCACCGAGGTCTATATTCACGCGTTGAAATGGAAAATCAGGAATCTGATGTGTATTTATTGGTGCTCTTGCTTGACTGGCGCTGAACGTCATACACACTTCACAATTCCGTACATTTGATCTGCCATTCCAGGCCAATACAGCGATTTGCGTGTTGCCTGAATCGTGTCATCAACGCCCAAGTGTGCTGTGTGAATTTTTCCTATAAACTGCTGTCGAAGGCTCCTTGGCACCAATATACGGTCTGACTTAAAAATTACACCTTGATGCAGCGACAGTTCGCTCTTGATTGTATGATACCTGTGTAAATCATCGTCCAATTCTTCTCTCCTCTCGGGCCAACCATCCATCAAAGTACGTACAAGTTTGCCAAGTGTGTGATCCGTTTTCGTAGCATTAGCAATTAGCCTGAACCGCTCATCCGACATGTTAATATATTCGACGACGTTGATGTGCGCTATATCCGCAAAAGTTTCACAACGAGCCCGTAGCCGTCCTGGATAATAGGTCAGCAATATGCATCTCCACACCTTTCTTATACTTAACCGTGATATCGTACCGTTGAAGTGTCATCCTCATGCGTTGCAGTCTCAACGGAGCTTCAGTGATCGGTTTCACGAATATGTTTTCCAATGGTTTGTTGTCTGACTCTACTATCACTTGACGTCCGACCACGTACTGGTCAAACCGCTTACACGCAAATACTATCGCTACGCAATCGCGTTCGATCGGTGCATAGTAGCTCTCCGTTTTTGTTAATGTTCGTGACGCGTATGCTACAGGTCGTCCTTCTTGTAACAGGGGGCGCAACCCACACCATACTTGCTTGCATCACACTGTATCGTCAACCTCTCTGAGGCATCATAGTACCGCAGCACTGGAACTGGAGTTACTAAGCACTTGATCTGCTGAAACGCTTCCTCTGCTTCAGTTTCCCACACAAATTCACTGTTATCTTTGGTTAATCTGCGTAATCGAGCGCTGATGTCCGCTAACTTCGGTAAAAACTTTCCCAAATTCGTGCTCAGTCCCAGGAATTTCATTAACTCCTTCTTATTCCTTGGTGTTGGTATATTCAGTTTACCTTCAATCCTCGCTCTCTAAATCGCTGCAATGTTGCCCTCAGATTGCAATTATGGTCTAACATGGCTTGTTCTACCGTAGCGCCACATCTGTACACTACGACATCATCTGCTAGGCACCTGACTCTTTTGAGCCCTGAAATAAGCTGCTGTTGAGCCTTTTGGTGTATTTCCGGAGCGCAGGAAACTCCAAACGGCATCCTCTTCCATCTGTATACTCCCTTTGGCATCCAAAACGCAGCGCGCTCTGTTCATCCAACTTCAAATACCAAAATCCATTCTTAGCATCCAATATCGAAAAAAACATTGGCCTTCGTAAAATCAGGCAGCATTTCCTCCACCGTCGGAATCTGATGGTTTGCACGTTTAATCGCTTGGTTTAGCTCTGAGGGATCCAGACACAGTCGAAGCTTGTTTCCTCTTTTCACCAAGACTAAATTGCTGATCCACTCCATGCGTTTGCTTACTGGTTCGACAATCTGCTTTCTTTCCAGTTCTTCAATTTTTGCTTTCAGCTCGAGCCAGTATGCCAACGGAATCCGACGCGGCTTCTGCTGCACTGCTGCAACGAAGGGATCGATTTCAATTTTAAAAGTTCCTTGGAATAATCCTTCGCCCTCGAAAACATCAGAGTACTTACCTAAAATATGTCCACATTCCTTTTGTAGAGTACTGACGTTGTATGTTCTGGATCTTGATGATTCCTAGATCGATTGCAGCTTTCGACGACAGCAGTGGTGGGCGTTTTTCGTTCACAACGATTATGATTACATTATGATTCGATCTTTCAGCTGCACTTTGAGATTCACCTTACCTTTCGGAATAATTATATTCCCCGAATAGCATCGCAGCTTCCCCTTCGTACGATACAGCTGACATCCGGTTCCAAGACGTTTCAAATCATGGTGGCTCAACACATTCACTCTAGCTCCAGTATCCACTTGAATGTCCAAAATTCGAAGTTGCCGTTCTTCACCCGATATCTTCAACTGCACCATTATCTTACAGCGTTACTTATCAACTTTTGCAATATCGACATATTCACATTGTTCTTCGCTGTCCGAATCCGTTGACCTCAATACACTGTCTTCCAGTTGCCGGACGTGTTTTCCGGAGGGTTTCTTCTTTGTTCGCATCGACCTTCCTAAAATGGTTGATTTTACCACAGCCTAGACACTTCTTTCTGTATGCCGGACATTTCTCCTTATCCCTTGGATGCTTTCCTCCACAGTAAAAGCATGGCTTCTCCAGTTTCCATGCTGTGGTCACTTTGAATGTTTCACGCGAACTTGCCTTACTTGATGACATTTGCTCATATTTCCTGGCTAGATCCTCGATTTGTTGGTGTTCTTGAGTTTTCTTCACCATATCACTCACGGATAAATTCCCTGCTCTTAGTAATTCCTTGCGCATATGATGATCCTGGATACCAGCTATGATCCTATCTCTGAGTAGTTCCTCTTGCTGCTCTGCCGTATAACCACACTTCGCGGCTTTTTGACAAACTCGCCGATTTTCTCCCCCATCTCGTTGGCATGTCGTGTTGAGTTCCGCTTGTTCTACACGCTGGTCGCGAACATGGACTAGATGTTGCTCTAGTTTCTGCAGAATCGTTTCGGTTTTACTTTTTTCTACTGCCGTAAGATTGAGCTCTTCCACTAACATTATTCCTTCGGCACCAATGACAGCCATCAAAGTCGCGACTTGTTGTTGCGCTGGCTTGTCATTCATAATAGCTCCATTGCAGCTTGAAAATTTTCACTGCCTCCTCGTCGTCCACTCCCAACTTCAGCGGTGATGGAACAGGAATGCTGCTCATTTTAGGTTATGTCGCAAGTGCAAAATAAAACTTCTCGAACCGTCGCTAGAAACTTGGTTCACTCCACTCCAAACGATTCTTCGCGAGTTCGATTACACATTTATATAAGATTTGCTTTCCGCGAAAGTGTTAATTGCTATTAAAATCGATTAACTTCTGACACCATGTTATCAACTAAAGTGTCTCAAGGTCATATCGTGTTGATGACTCTTTATTGATGATTAATGTAATGTGTACAAAGGTATTCACCAGTATCAAGATAATTATATAGAGGTATTAAGAATACAACAATGTTAAGATACCTTGTGAAAATATTAGAATTCTTATGAATGATGTCCAAATCCACGTAACGCGGGTAGATTACTTTTTCGTGGTGCGATATGGTGTTGATCTACCACGCGAAGTCCTGCCTAGTTCAAACTAGGGGAACACGGTTTTTCAGTGATCAAAGGAACACATCTTAGTCCTTGTTACGTTGTATCCCTTGTTTAAAGATTGTTTTGACATGGGTTGCTCCACCGAATAGGTACTCACTTCATCATTTCTGAATAGTATTAAAGTAATACGAGATGCACTGGACACGGCTTACCCCTATAACTAAAAGTTTTTCTTTCATTTCATTTTATTACAGGTACGGCATTCGCTGCATAGGCTCAGTGGTGCCAGATGCTAAGCTGCCGGAATATCCGCTCGTAAATGAACCGGTCCTGGAGTACAGAAAGGGATCCAAAGAGCGCAAAGAAATCGAAGCGGCTTTGAAGAAAACCGCCGCAACCTTAGAAGATGTCCCGATCATCATCGGAAACGAAGAGTTTCGCACCAACAACGTACGGCATCAGGTGATGCCGCACAACCACAGCAAAAAGATCGCTCAGTTCTACTGGGCCGACAAGAAGCTGGTGGAAAAGGCCATCAAGACTGCCACCGAAACGCAGGTCAAATGGGACAAAACTCCGCTGAGCGAACGAATCAAGATTTGGCAGAAGGCAGCCGATCTTATGGCTGGTCCATATCGGCAAGAACTGAACGCCGCCACCATGCTCGGACAGGCCAAGACTGTGATCCAGGCGGAGATTGATTCCGCTGCAGAGTTGATAGATTTTATTCGGTGAGTGTCTTAAAACGGTATGAAAGGAATTCCTCTAGATGTGACTTTACAATTTCTCCAGAATGAACACCGTCTATCTGAGGGAAGCGAGCAAATATCAACCGATTAGTGAAAATAGCAAAGTGACAAAGAATTCGATGCGGTTCCGTGGTATCGATGGATTCGTCGCGGCGGTCAGCCCGTTCAACTTCACGGCCATCGGAGGAAATCTAGCCTACACTCCTGCTTTGATGGTTAGTATGATATATCATTCAAATTTTAGAATAGACATCAAGAATTTATTTGTCTTTATCGTAGGGCAACGCAGTCCTGTGGAAACCCTCGGACACGGCTCTCCTGTCGAACTATGTCATCTTCAAGATCATGCGTGAGGCTGGTGTCCCACCCGGTGTGGTCAACTTCATTCCAACCGATGGTCCGGTGTTTGGAGACACGATCACCGCATCGCCCCATCTAGCTGGTATCAATTTCACCGGCTCGGTACCGTAAGTGTTTTTCGAAGCGCATCTTCTTTATTGTTCTCGAAAAAACATCAAGTTCAATTTCACAGCACCTTCAACCGGTTATGGCGTCAGGTTGGAGAGAATATCAACATCTACAACAACTTCCCACGACTGATTGGTGAATGTGGTGGTAAGAATTACCACTTCGTGCATCCTTCGGCTGATGTGCAGTCGGTTGTGATTGGAACCATACGATCGTCCTTCGAATTCTGCGGGCAGAAGTGCTCGGCTTGCTCACGAATGTACGTTCCTGAATCGCTATGGCCCAAGGTGAAGGAAGGTCTGCAGAAGACGAGAGATACGCTGAAGATTGGAGATGTTGCCGACTTTTCCAGCTTCACATCGGCGGTAATCGACGATAAGGCATTTAATCGGATCAAATCGTACATTGATCACGCCAAGAGTTCCAAGAACTTGGAAATCATTGCCGGTGGTAAGTGTGACGATAGCAAAGGGTACTTTATCGAGCCGACGATTGTGCATTCGTCCGACCCGTTGGACAAGATTATGGTTGAGGAAATTTTCGGCCCGGTGCTGAGTATCTACGTCTACAAGGATAAGGATCTGGATCAGGCTATGAAACTGGTTGGCAACTCGACGAGGTTTGCCCTCACCGGTGCAGTATTCTCGAAGGATGAGTAAGTTTGTGGCCCAGCTTTCAATGTGCGTAAATTTTCTGACCGTTCGTAATTGCAGAGCGTTCCTGAAGCGCGCTTTGGAAGAATTCAAACTGACAGCTGGTAACTTCTATCTTAATGACAAATCCACTGGATCGGTGGTAGGACAACAGCCATTTGGCGGTGGTCGAATGTCAGGTAGGTAGCTTATTTAAAAATGGAACAGGTATTTTCGGTTATTACAGCATTGTTGACAATTTTAATTTCTAAATGGACAACTGTGCAACTTTTTTGGACAGTTTTAAATTCAATTCGCGATATTTTGAGCACAACTTACAAAATGCAATGGGATAAACTCGACAGTGAGCATGCATAAGGCACTAGTGTGCACAGGAATCTTGTTAAGGAGGGGCAATTTTTTTTCTATGGTGCATTTAACCGAAATGCTACATACACACCAAATTTTGTTTTCATCTTCCAGCAAAATGGTTTGCTGAAAATGATCCAGCAATACGATTTTTGTTGAAACAACAGCAAACTACCATTGTAGTTTCATTTTTATACCTATGATCTTGACTTTTTTACCTAGGGGATGAGTACTTAAGGGGGTTAGATTTTGATAAGTTCTTTAGTGGGAATGACACTGATGAAGACTGCACATTGTAGTCGAAATACGTATCTGTCATGGATACCAAACTTAATTAAGTGGAATTAAATGGAAGATAACCTTTTTTGCTGTTTTATTTAGTTTTGCTGGTTTCCAGCAATAAAAAATGAGTGTGTATACTGCAATTTGGTTGCCTTGCCTTTTCAACACCCGTCTCACACCCCTGAATGTTTCCGTCGGCCGATCATTATCAATTAACCTGATGACAATCGCAAACTGCAAGTTTTTCGCAATTTTCTGCAACATTACATTGTGCAACAACGTAATCATGTCATTTTGAATACGGTTACTTGTGTACTGGCAATTTTTGGCACCTTCCGCCAAGTGTTTTTCAAGCACAGGATCGTAATTAGCCACCAACTTGGTGACACACTTTCCGCTCCTTCCGAATGTTCACAAAGTGGTCGGCCACCTTTGCAAAGTTTGCGCACAACCCTAATAAATGGGTACCATACACTAACGATATCATAGATGGTACGACCGCACCACATAAAGTTGGGATGATATCCCGAATTGGTGGTTAGGCGCTTCTTATGGTTATTGTTTATGCGGGAATAGCGATGATTCCATTATATAGCGATTTTGTAACCACTTTGCCTCTCTAGCAGCAATCATAGCAGTTTTTTGGTGGTTCAGTTCTTCGTCGATATCCTTCCTGGTTTTCAAATTCCGCCACGCTTCCATACTACCAACATGGGTATGACTGCGATTGTGTTTGCTCAGCAACTCGGTCGCTTGCTTCCAATTTCTGAACCCTGGGAATCGGACAACTTGGATCGTCCGAAACTACCAGGATCGTCCGAAACTACCAGGATCGTTCGAAAGGGTGTCAACCCTGTCCCTCAGTACCGCTAGTTGGGGTGACAGAAAATGATGCCAAAAATTCAACATTTTTTAAAGATGATATAAAGGACAAACCCGCATTTATTGCAACCCACATAAACAGCTATAACTTTTTAACCACGGTAACAAATGACTTGAAATTTTCAGAGAAGATTCTTAGACGAATTCTTAATAAGACAACAATCGACCAAGGTTTAATGACTAACCACTTTTCAATTAGGGAATCCAAAAGCTGTCTTTAAACTTTGTACAGTTGCGAAAAAGGCCATCCTCAGAATTCCATGAGGTTCTTTTCGAAATTTTAAGAACTGAATGAGCTCTTTTGAAATTCTTCTCAGAAGTCCTCTGGAATTATTTTTAGAATTCTTCTTGACTTTTACTCAGAACACATTGGAACTGAAATTCCCTATGAGTATCAGAAGAATTTCCTCAGTATTATCCAGAAATTATTCCCGGAATGAGCTAGAAATTATCGGTACTCCCTTTAAATTTTTCTCAAAATCCCTTTAGAATTTCACTCTAAATCTAATTTTCTCAGTATTCTTTTTGGAATTATCTTGAAATTATTTGCAGGATTCACTAGAAATTATTAGCAGAATTTTCTTGGAATACTCCCCAGAAATCGTATGGAACTGTTCTCAGAATTCAATATCCTTGAGATTCTTCTCCTAAGAGCTCTTTTGAAATTCTTCTCAGAAGTTCACTGGAGTTATATTTAGAACTGTCATGATTTTTTCTCAGAACACCTTGGAACTGAAATTCCTGTCCCGGAATGAGCTAGAAATTATCCTCGGAATTCGATTGAAATTTTACTTAAAATTCCTTTGGAATTTCACTCAACATTTGATTTTCTTGGTATTCTCTTCGAAATTATCTTGGAACTATCTACAGGATGCACTAGAAATCATCCGTAGAATCTTCTTTGAATTCTCCCCAGAAATATTTTGGAATTTTCTCAGAACACCTTGGAACTGAAATTCCCCTAAAGTTTCAGAAGACTTTCCTCTGTATTCTACAGAAATTCTCCCCAAAATGAGCTTTAAATTATCCTCGGAATTTCCTTGAAATTATCACCAACATCCCTTTGGAATGTCGTTCAAAATTTGATTCTCTCGGTATTCTTTTCGAAATTATCTTGGAACTATCCGCAGGATTCACTTGAAATCATTCGCAGAATTTTCATGGAATCATCCCCAGAAATCTTTTTTTTTAACTGTCCTCAGAATTCAATACCCTTGAGGTTCTTCTCGGAAGTCAAGTAGTTGTCCGTCCATTCACCAAAACGTTGAAGTTTTTCTACAAGAAATGTTCAATTAAGCTTGCCCTTCCATTCACTAGAACTGTGCAATTTTTACATCAGGAATTTTAAATTCAATTTACCCCTCCATGCAGCAGATTGTTGCAAATCTTACACCAGAAATTTTCAATACAAACCTGCCCCCAGAAAATTTCAATTGACCACAACGATGCAAATTTTCCCCCGGTTATGTTCAATAAAAATTGCTTCTCCAATCTTCTGATTGGTGCAGATTTCCTTTTGTCATTTTCCACATGAAATTTTCAATATAGCTTGCTTTGCCTATCATCAGAATGTTGCAGGTTTTCCACCAAATAAAGCTTGCCCTTATTTTAGCTTCCCTCCAATCATCAGAATGGTGCAAATTTTACACCAGAAATTAATATTAAAGTTTGTTTCTGTATTCAGCAGTAGGATGCAATTTTAAGTCCAAAAATTTTCCGAAAAGCTTACCCATCCGTTCACCAGAAAAGTGCAGATTTTCCACCACAAATTTTCAATATAGCTAAATTTTAAATAAAGTTTGTGCCTTCATTTACCAGACCAGTGGAAGTTTTCCACCAGAAATTTTCTGTTCATTTCATTTATCAGAGAGATGCAAATTTCGCATCCGAAATTTTCAATTGAGCATGCTCCTCCATTCACCAGAACGGTGCACCAAAAATTGTCAGTGAAGTTTGTTTCACCATGCACCTTTGTGTTGCAATTTTTAGGCTTTGCCTCTTCATGCACCAGAATGGTGCAATTTTTCTACCACCTTGCCCCACCCTGTGCACGCCAGTGGCATAAGGGCGTATACGCGATGATCGATTCTCTTCATCGATTTTCTCTTTGCATTGCTACAGCTAAGCGAAACAATTTTCTAGAATTTGTTCAATGCAGAGTTGCAACAGGTTGAATTGGCTATCGAAAACAACAGCAAATGCACCGAGAAACCTTAAATCTAGCGAGCTATTAACAAAAGAGAAAATCGACGAAGAGAATCGATCATCATTATTCCAGTCAGTCAGTCAGTCAGTCAGTCAAAAATAATTTAAATCTTCCTGTGACAATGACAAAACTCAGTACTGGTCACTAAAGTCCATTAATAGCGAATTCGTTTATTATAGGAGTGTGAAACCGAACTTTTAGTTAGTGTGAACCTCAACCTGAGTTAGGCTTAAAAAAACAAACTTTGTTTGTCAGAAAACAAACAGACCCAATCTTTATACCCGATCCAGATTGGAACTGAATAGTAAACGAGTTCGCTATAAGGAAAAGTATGTACCTTAAGCCGTTTTAGTTTGGTGAACCAGGTTCGAAACTGGGTTGCTTTCTTCAAACTATCACACTCGCCGTGAACTGCACTGAACCAAAACATCCGCAATACTTCGAATGATTATTGCATTGCTCGAGCCCTTTAACAATATGCATTCGAATTTCGGATGATTTTCTTATGGTTGAATTCGTCGTCAGATGATGAACATCCATATGACTGTCATCCAAATACAGGATGATTTTCGTTTGAAAATTAGCTATAAAACATACGGCACTCAGAGGACAAACATTTAAGAATAGTGTGACATGCAAGTGCTTCTAATTAGATTTATAATTTGATAATCTTCATTTCTATACTGAATAGCCATAATAAGCCATTCCATTATGGATATAAAATTTTTTCGTGGTGAACCTCCACCACGAATTAGCCAAACATTGGTTTTCATCCTTTACCTATGTTCGAAACAGCTCTGATAGCGATGCATATGCTTCCACCTCGTTTATCAGCTCAGATCAGCAAATGACATTCGATAGAATTATTAACATTATCGTTTTGAATGATTTGCGTTATGGGGCTGAACCAATATCATATGCATTTCCATTTAGTATGACAGTCATTCTGCAGAGAGCATTACTCATTTCAACTGAAGGCCCTATCCCTTCTCATAACAATTTTCATCCTGTATTCTAGAGGAAAATCATCTGATTTCAAAACAACCGTCATCCGTTGCAGGTATCATTCGAAAAAGCGATTTCGGTGATTTGTTTTGAATGGTCTGAGGTTTCATTCGATCAGAGTATGATGTTTGTGTACAGTGTGGGTGAACTGAAATGTTATGTACAAGTGTATGTGTGACTTGAAATAGAAAAGTCTAAAAGGCATTGACAGCTAGCTGCCAAGGGATTCCTCAACATCAGTTTTCAGTTTAAATATGCACTGGGCACTCCCTTGCTCGCTGCTGATTGAGTCCGCTGCCATTATTTTCCAAAATTTATTTGAACGCACGCAAATGGATACCATCAATTACAAGCCAGCTTATGACCATGAAGGCGACATAATCCAACAGAAGGATTACATATGCTTGAAGAATATGGACAGTAAGAAGCAGAATCGGTATTGAAATTGCATATTTCATCTTTGCTCAAAATTGTATGCAGTTCAACAAAACCGCATATATCTCGTACCACAGTTAAAAATTGACATTACTTGCGGTGATTCGGCATATTCATAGAACCGTTTTCTGGCCACCCAGTAACAGAATCGGTCTGAGGATTGCATATTTCATCTATTCTCAATATTCTATGCAAATTACAAAAAATCTCTTATATCTAGGCTTACTTTTAAGAATTGACCATACATGGGGTTTTCCGGGAATCTTCAGACCATAATCCTCACACTAGTTTTCCCGGTCCGGCTGGCCAACTACAAGTCCAATCAATTCCCTATCTGTTTTGCTGAAAAGCCAATACCTTTCAAATTAGGGCTCAATTTCAAAATTTGATGGACGCATTGCTGAGAACCAGCCATGCCAACATGAATCGATACGCATTATGCTCAGGAGTCACAGTTTTTTTCCGATCCGATTGACCAAATGCAGGTCCAGTCAGGTAACTTTATATTTCATTTGAAAGTAGATTCGTATATATGTATATCTATCGAATGGTAGCTAAATTACAAAAATTGATCATCACAATGCCATGAACCAACCATGCTAACATGAATCGATACGCTGTTTGCAGTCTTGGGCTTCTGCGTTGTAACGGATGTTCCGGATTTTCCGGAGGACCAGCAGCGTGAGGCCATGGATGGTCCAAAAAATGTTTAGACATCGTATATAACTATTCAAGTAAAGTAAAACGACATTTAAAAAAATCGCGATGATTTAGATTGATTTTCATGACACCCGTAAATGTTCTGGATCCTCTGGAGATTACTTCTCCATATGGCGCAGCATCATATTTTCACAAAAATTTCTTCGCATAACAGCCGGTTTCAATTCTCCCGGACCCACTCCGGATTGTAGATGATTCCGTGCGGTCATGATGACAAAATTGTGCAGTTAGATGTCTCGCACTCCTCTTGCTGCAGTTAGATTGAAATTCGCTCTCAAATTGTGAATTTCATAGCAGAAACAATATTGGATCCTTAAAGACCCAGAAGCCGGGCGTGTGACTTTTTTATTCTGAGACACTGTACGTGCTTTTGAAACTTTACCAGAAGTTTGGAAAAGTCACCAAATTTCAAGATCATTGAGCTTTTGGCTTCAGAGATACAGTCATTTGAATAGCGCGTTTGGGCCGAAAAAGGCCCGAATACCATCGCACGGTAGAAATTGATATAGAAGTGCATAACAATGCAATATTTTCTGTCTGACTGATTTTTTGTTGTTCACCTTTTTTACTTTTACCATACATACCATAAGTTTTGAATGCATGCGTGAAACTGATGAGCCTCAAAAAAAATTTGGGTTCGAACCTAGTCGTTTTTCAGGTTGCTTGGTGGTGAACCTAAGTTACAACCCGGGTGAGGGTTCGCTTCAAACTAAAACGGCATTAGTCAAAAGTTGTTCCAATCGAACCGTCAAAATGTACTGCTTTGCTCTATTGGAACAACTTTTTCAGTTTTGTGGTGACAGTCGTTCATACTTTTACTAGAATGCTTTACTGGTCACTTCTATACCCCTACAACATGAAGATGCCGAATTGATTCTTAATTTTCAAGATATCAACTGATAACTTGAGTAAAGTTACCAAGGATCTAGCTATATGTTAAAGATTCACAAATGAGTCAACATTCATTATTCATCGAAGCTTTTGCAATTGCAAACGTTGTTCCCAAACGGACATTGTTAATCTCATCTTTATTCTGAGCTGTGACTACAAACCTTATCTTTAACATTTCAGGAACCAACGACAAGGCCGGTGGTCCACACTACGTTCTCCGGTGGACAACACCACAATCCATAAAGGAAACCTTTGTTCCGCTGGATGAAGTCGACTACCCGTATATGCGCGAATAAGCGCTGCCAGCAAATATCTAGTGCATTCGTTGCACTTTTTGTGATTTGAAAGAAAATCAATTCTGCATCCTTAGAACACCCGTACACCCATTATGTGAATTTTTGTCGTACCTACTTTCTGGCACTATTTTTCCTCGAAAAAAGCCACGAATTTCAACTAAAAGCAAGATGTGGGAAAGCCAAACCCACGCTAACCCGAAAGCACCTAGAAGTATTGTTTTATCCCTAAGTCTCGATAACAGAAATGGCTCGCAGTAGCGTCACGCTTTCTTGAGCCCAAGTGATATTTGATTCTCAATTCGAGTTTCACATAATGTATTGCGTACCTTTGAAAAGATAAACTAAAAACACTCATATATCACTCACGAGCATTTTTGTGTTAAACAACCCTTGCACCGGCAGACGCTTGTTAGATCTGATCATAATTGTGTACCACACTACCACTTTTGGTTAGTCAGTTTTCGTTTGTTTTTTGCAGGAAACACATTGCTACTTTAAGATTTAAGTAATCTTGTGAATAAATTTCTAACTGTGTTATCCAGCGTTTAGTTACCTTCGAATATGTTCCCTAATTTTGTGCTTTTATTTTGTGGATCCTGATTATCGAAGCTTTTAAATTGCCACCAATAAATTCATACCAATTGACAATATGATGAGATGATGAGATAAATTCTATGCAACTGAGTAGCTGCGTAACTAGATAATTATTTTGCTTAAGGAAAAAGTATCAAAAGTATATAACCCATATGCTATAAACCATAAAACTAGCTGTTGTTACTGGAAAACGAAAACAAAAGAATAAACTTTATCACAGACAAATGTAACACAACAACCAAACCAAGAGTAGTCACCCTATACCATACGCAGCACAGGCAACGATTATGTAGTCGCAACAATAAACTAATCTGTATACCAGTCACTGTAAAACGCAACCAAAGTTTGATTTTGCGCCATAATTACATACAAGCATCTGATTCGTCGTCTTCGAGCACCACAGCACTCTCGAAAAACCCATAACTAAACTAAGTATGACATTTCTGATGAGAACGATCGAAACTTGACTAACGTACTGTTGCTGAAACAAATAAACGATAAAAAACCAATATTCGGGTAACTACTGTGTAGTGGGCAGTGCACTGTTTTGGAGCCACGGTTTGGCTTCGGAAAATGTCCGCTATACAAACGCTACCTTTGAATGTGTGTAAATCATATGGATAACCCAAGCCAACTGGGTCAAACTGAGATATAATTAATTAAGCGAATAAGAAAGAACGGAAACCGAGTTAATAAATGTTTAAAATTAAATTGTTCGTTTGTACACAATGAGAAAAATTGAGAAATCACATTTTGTCAAGGCTCAGCCCCGTTTGGTATAATGGCCATTTGTCATAAATGCAGATAAAATAGGGTTTTAAATGATTTTCATAAAGAATCAAGACGTCAACCGAACGACCAGGTTAACCACACACAAAATTCATATACATTAGAGTGTTTCAGTGTTATACATATAGGAAAAACTCAAAGACTGAAATTTCAAACATGTAACATGCGTGTTACAATTTAACCCGTTTTGTGTAGTTTTGCTTACTTACTTACTTACTTACTTACTTACTTAAGGGTCCTATGCACCGCCAGCGGTGCAAAGGGCCAACGTGAAAGACTTCCATCCTGGGCGGCTGCTCGCTTTTGCCTTGACCTTGACCTGGGCTATCGACTTGCTTAATTTCCTTATTGAGGCTCCGCCGCCATGAACCCCTGGGTCTGCCTCTGCTGCGATGTCCTGCCGGATTTCAATCCAGCGCTTGCTTGCAGATTTCGTTTCCGCCCCGTCGAAGTGTGTGGCCGACCCACCTCCACTTTCGCTCTGTAGTTTTGCCGCCGAGTGTAATTTAGCCGTGTTCCACACGAGCGTGTGCCGTGTTTGTTATGTTTTGTTTTTGTTGTCATTTTACGGCCGGCAACATACTCACCACTATGCCTTCGTGAATAATTTTAATTTGTAAATTTTGCACGTTATTTTATTCAAATAATTGTTAGGTGTTTTAGAGAATGTAGGGAAAAAAGTATCGTTTTAAATTATTTCGCGTTTGTTATTAAATCAGGTCCCGTTTCTTCTCCCGCTACAAAAGAAGGCGAAAACATAATCAATAGAACAGTCGAGCACCGTTGCAGGAGAACGATGGAGGTTTTTTGTTATTGTCCGTGATTGCTACCGGTAGAAAGTAACGAACCACGGTTGTACCTTGACCCACCGAACAGCAGTGGCAACAGCAAGGAGGAGGACAAAGCTAAGTAGAATAGACGTCTTAAATATGATTCCTTCTTGTTGTTTTGTTATTTTGCCCTAATCCGAACGAATTTGGAGGAACTACCCTTGCCCTAGGCCGGGGTAAAATCGGGCCAGCTATAGGCTGGCAGGAAAGTCGTAGCCAGGGGATAGTCCCTGGAATGGTAGTTTGGGGGGTCAGAAACAACCTGTCAAAATGTGAACCACTCGGTCAAAGGATTTTAGGTAAAAATGTATGCTAAAAATCTACAAAATTTATGTTGGAACGAGCCACATTCTCATTCGTGACTCTATGTGGCGCTGTAGTTGGTCGATTTTCTTCAAGTAAAAAATGTAGAACCTGTAGGCTAAAGACCGCATGTGAATCCAAGTTAACCCCGAAAAATTATTAGCGTTTAAAATGTACACCACCTGCCTTACTTTTCGTGAGGGCCTAACGCGCTTTGTGCGGTTTGTATGTTTACAAACAGGCATGCGAAAAGCAATGTTTGCATCGGTATAATTTATTTTTGTTTCGCCATGAAAATGACTGGAATTTTTACAGTAAGTAGAAAAATGTTCGAAATTATAGTCTAGGGTAAGCGCTCCTATAGTTGCGGTACGTTAGAAGCGTTAGGTTCCTTTAGTTGTGTATTGAGTCTCCATGCACAACTATAGGAACCTAACGCTTCTAACGTACCGCAACTATAGGAGCGTTTCCCCTACTGAAAATTGGAACAGATTGATCAACCATTCAAGGTTTGCAAGAGGCCACCGGGGGTGAAAAGGTACCAGTCGTCTAGAACAAGGAGAACAAGTAGTGCTGATTAATATTAAACAAAATCAACCCACAACCTTATTACTAAGGCTGTGTTCCATTTGGAAATTTTTCACTTAAATTTGACACTTCGAAAATAAATTATGATGTTCGAAAATCCCTCTGTTGTTGAACGGCCGATTTTCAAGAAAGCATCTGTCAAAGTTGATTCCTTGTCTGTCAGAAATAAGTCTGCTGGAATAGCAGGTTTATTTGAAACTTTTCCATCTGTCAAATTTAAGTGAAAATTCACCAAATGGAACACAGCCTAAGTGACCCGGATCAACCTTAAGCTTGATTATCATGTATTTTTGATGAAAATATGCCTTGATTTTTCTCTGCAACTATAAGCGATGTGGGAAAATGGTGTTTGTTGATATATTGAGGTCTATTCTGCGCGGCGATTGAGGTGAGGTTACTCGTCGTCACTAGTGAGGCGACAATACCCAACAAACATTGGAAGCTGAATAAGAGCTTGTTCAGGCAAAAAATTGCTTCTTCAGCTAAAAAATAGCTTATTCTGCTTTTAATCAGCTCAAATTGTTTGTTGGGTAGTCACCGCGAGTGAGGTAACTTTCCATTTGATTTGCATGGAGAGTCACCTCATTCACGATGACTTTTGTCACCTCACTAGTAACAGCGAGTCACCTCACCTCACTCACGGTGCAGAATAGGGGGATTAGCTCCGAATGGTTACCAGATGACACACCGGAAGATCCCGAACATCCGTAAAATTGATTGCTGGGTAAATATAATAAAAGTATGCTTGGGTTTTTCTATGGAACGAAATAGAAGGCAAGGTTGCAAAGACTCATTTCAGCTAAAACAATGTTTTTCTAAATTATGAAATAATTAGATGCCATGATCAAATTTTGAATTGGTAGGATACAATAAGAGGTTGCAAAGAATGTGTTTGACATATTAAACCTGTTTATTTCACTTCATGAGAGTCACAGTCAGCGATTTTTCACAAACTCACTCACTCACTCACTCACTCACTCAGCGATCAGCAAATCGCTGATTGTGACTCATAGAAAGCAAAATTTACAGGTTTTATGTTTCCAACGCATACTTTGTAACCTCTTCTTGTAAGTTACAAGTAAAACATGCCATCATACCATCTTTTGGTTTTATTATTCCGAAAAACATTATTTTAGCTGAAATGAGTATTTGCAACCTTGATAGAAGGTAGTAAAATGCGAGGGATGCGACTCTATCTACGATGCAGAAAAAAAAAATGTTTTGCTGTGGTTAGCTGCGCGCACGCTGAGTAGACAGAAAGAAGATTGATGGCGATTTTGAAGATTGCCTGCAAAAAAGATGATGCACGATGCAAGTAGATTCGAGAAAAATGAAAGAAGATTTTTCGAAGATTGATTCATCAGTGTGAGATTTGCTGAGCATCTAGAATTGAAATGGTAAAATGATGAGTTTTGTTATATTACCTGGTCACTGGCTCCGAATAATCACCAGATGGTGGCGAACCAGTCGATGGCTGAAAGCCTTATAAATAAAGAAAAAACATAACCATATGGTCCGCCGGACGATCCGAAAAATCCGTAAATTTATTGCTGCGTAAATTTGATCAAAGTAGGTCTTGATTTGGTATTGCGTGAAAATGCATGAGAATCTAAAGCGTATGATTTTATTGCCCGATTTGCACGTGAGTATATTCTCTTAGGGAGACTCATTGAATGAGATTTGATAATGATTTTCCGAACACTAGTTGTAAGATGGAGGTCTCACCAAGCTGATTCAACAGTCAAAATATCACATTTTATTTATTGTATCGGTGTTCATATAGCTGATAGTGACAAGACTTTTCTAAAATGTATTCAGTAGATTTTCATAGATAATATCAGCCGATAAAAATGCATCGGTTACAGTTAGTAACGTCTGTTGATAAAGTGAAACTGTTAACGATTATCTGTTCCGCTAATTTTATAAACTTTTTCAAAAATCAGCTAAACCTGTTTATAAACATTCATGGACTGCTCAAACAAAGCTAGAATGAGAATAGTTAGCAGCTACCGGTTATCGCTAACTTCCGATAATTACATAATCAATGTATTGTTTAGTGGTTATCGACTGAGGAATTTGAAATTATATTGGCGTATTATATGTTATCGAAGTCATGTTTTCGATTAGTTGTACACACCTCTGCGTTACCATTTAGATGGGGCAACTTCCAGCAGATATGAAAAATCATAAGAACTTGCGACTGCGAAACACATTATTCTCATGAGAAGTGATCATCCCTTCTTTCATAAGGATGAAATATTTATTTACATCGTTTTAAAATTGATATGGCCTGGAAACCTTTGCTCTGTTGCTACTTCGTATTTTCTGGAGCATAAATATTGTGAAGCAAATTTCAGCTTGAAATCGCAATAGTGTCCGAGATTTACTCCCTAGAAAATTTTAAAAGGCAGTGCAAGTCAACCCTTCTCCGGTGATTTGTGAACGCTGTATCGTATCACCTGAACGCCGTCGGCTTAGCGTACACTACCGCTCATAAATTAAGAATTTCCTAGATATTCTCACGTAACTATGATATCTGACATCGGCGTGAAGGAATTTCATAACATTACTGCAGAAAGCTGCAAAGAATATGAACAACATTTACGCTCCAGAACATTGTTTCTTTCATTTCCACATCAAGGTAAGAGGGTTGATGCATATATTATGTCACGCTCTAGGGGGGGAGGGAGTCTAAGATTTTGTGACAAGCAATGCATTAGGTATAGGAAAAACATCACGATATGAGGGGGGGGGGGGGAATTTCTCCTCGATTTAGCGTGACATAATTAATGCATGGGCAGTACTGTGGTTGTGGGTAGTCGCGGGTAGTCGGCGACTACTTAGCTGCAAACCGAAAAAAAATACAAAATAGGTAAAATACAGTAATCCAATGAGAACAAAATCTCACCGCAAATGTTGAATATTAAAAATACACTGCACCCAAGTCAGTCCCCTCGAACACTTGCGTCTCCAATTAACAAGTTCGACGAAAAGTTTAAAAAATATTAAATTTAGATAACTAGCGTCTGATATACATGTGCAGGTAAATTTAAAAATCAGTAAATTTGAAAGTTGTATAAAAATTTTAAATTTCAAGTGACTTGCACCTGGTAGACAAGTTCGGGTGAAAATTAGAAACAGCTAGTGCACCTGGTAAGCATGTTCAATAGACTGATGCAAAATTTGAAATTTTCGCTCCAC